TATATATATATATATATATATATACATACATATGCGTGCACACAAACGCCAATAATGTTCTAAATGACGTGAGACATGTCGTGTCGGCGTAATCAAGCTTTAAGCCTTAGGAGTCATGACGAGTCCATGACGTTTTTCAAACCATGATTTATGGCGCAAATTTGTATATCATATATAGAATTATGCTACACATATTTTTATTACCTTTAAACGAGTCAATGATATTAAACAATTTAAATTGGGTTATATAGTAAGAAATAAAAAGTAAAGACGCTAAAAAAGTAAGAAACCTAAAATGTCACATTATAATATATGATTGATGGCGACCTTGACGTGTTTCTCATAAAATGAGTTCTCACGGGTACACACTATACATACATACACACACAAATATGTATATATATATACACACATATATATATATAGAGAGAGAGATAATCGGATGAAGAATCGTGTGAGAAAAAAAGGCTAAGGTGATAAATGTATGAAAAGATTTGAACCCTTGATCACTTTTAATCTTAAACCAACCTATGAATTGAGCTTTACAAGGGTATTGATCCGGTGCTTCTCATTAGTGTTGATGTTGTGGAAATCTTCAGGGTGGAGATCCTTCTTCTTACCTTCGTCACTATCTCTCATTCTCACCAAAATCCGATCCGACATAATCATCTGTTAACCAAGTAAATAATATTAACTTTACAAACTCATCTGAGTCATTTATTTATTTTGATTAACGGTTATGATTAAATGAGAGATAATAAAATGATGAAAAATGAAAGAAATCAAATTGAATTAAATGAAGGACAATTTTGGAACAGACTGTTTTCATTTTTGGAATATAATTATGTTTTATATGGTATTTGTTTAAAGTTCATACTGTTGTTTCATTTATGAATTTCAATTTTATCGATTTTTTTTTCCTAAAGTTCCAAACGTTTTATATGATTTTTGTTAAATGTTGTTTCATGCATGAACATTGGTTGTTCCAATTTTTTTTTTTACCAAAGTTCATAGGTGAAACTAGAAAGTGAATAAGATAATTAAGAAAGTTTAAACAAAGTAAATGAGATAATTAGGTAAATGAGATGATTAAGAAATGTGATATCAATATATAAAAAAGACGAAAATACCCCATTAACAAGATTTGTAATAAGTAGATGGGTCCTTGATAAGGAACCCGAAAACCATGCATAACATGATGTGTGACATCATTAATCAGGTTTTGGATACACTATTTAATTTATCATGAACGTCTGATTTATGATAAATAACACGTTCATATTGATCATGAATGTATTATTCATGACTAGAAGAGTACTCGCGCAATGCAGCGAGACACATCTCAGTTTTAATGTACTATTTTATTATTTGTCTCTATCGATATTATAATACGATTTTATGTGTTTTTAAGAAAACATTAATGATTTTATTTTTAAATAAAATATAAATTTGAAAAAAAATATATCAATATTAATATCAAATCAACTATTTAAAAGTTGTAATTTTTATGTAATTTATTTAATTTATTTTWTTTATTATAATTTAATTTAAGTTTAATAACGAATAATTTATTTTTGGTTTAATAACATAAACATTTTAATAGATAATAATTAAGTATTCTGTTAGAAGTCTATGTTTATCCTAATTATATTTTAAATTTTTTATATTTAAAATGATATGTTTATCCTATATTTGATTATGTTTATCCGCAATTAGTTACACGAATTCAGATATGTAGCTTTAATAAGTTGTACTTACGCACAATCTACTTGCAATCTTGAGTTTTAAATAATATGCATTAATAAACAGTACTTTACGCATAAAAAATGATTTTTAAGAGTTTTTGTCGAATGCTTTATTATATAGAAGTATAGATTAATAAGAGCACCTTCCTAAACTTCTTAAGGTTATTAATAAGTTATCACTCTGATCTATATTCATTTTGAAGAACACGTCACATATTAAAGGACGATTTTGGATTCCTAATCGATTTTAGATTTCTAACTAAACTTCCCCTGTCTCTTTATATATACGTTACATATATATATATATATACATACATATATATATATATATACATATATGTAGATACATATATATATATATACATATATATATATATACATATATATATATATATATATTAAATAAGATATGAGGGTGATTATTTTATTGATAAAATAAAGATTGAAAGTATGTTTTGTGAGCATATGGCTGGATCACCATAACATGATGACCATGTGTTACATCACTTGTCTTCATCCTAAGGAACAATGCTCACATGACCAATTTTTTGTTCCAAGTTTTTATTTTTTATACAATTTATTAAGATCTAAATGTACCATTTAATTCATTTCTCTTTTATTTATTTATTAAAATTCATTTTTATAAAAATATAATACTTTCTATTTTAGGTTTTCTAGACACATCATACTTATATATATATATATATATATATCATATTTTTAAATAAGCAAATTAAATAAAATGAATAAATACGTATAATGCATAACTAAAACACATTATATATACATCATAAAACATGGCTTTATTGACGATAAAATATGTATAACTTAATAGAAAAAAACAATTATCGAAAAGAATATTTTGATTTTGATTTATATATTAATTCACGTTAAAACCGTGTTCGGATAAAATAATAACGTAAGTTATAAGGTTATATATTTATAGAAAAAATAAAATTGGACCTACCACGAATAGTAACTATTTTATAAGTTATTAAAAAATGTTTATTTAAACTATAAGAGTGATGTCTGATTGGTTTGAGCTTGACTCTAAAGATAAAAAGTACCAGGAAGTACCAGGTTCAAATCCAAGAAGAAATAAAAACCCTCTTGTGAACTATCTATAAAGTAGGTGATCATCCTGAAATTAGTCGGCTCACATAGCAGGTTGGATATCCAGGTTAATAAAAAAAATGTCTATTCAATGACGTGGGTGAAATAATAAAAAAAAGTATAGGTTATAAGATATAATATTTTGTATACTAGAAAAGAAAAAAGAAAAAAAGAAAAAACTGAGGGGACCCACCACTAATAATATTTCTGTTAAAGATAAAAAAGATGCATAAAACCACATGAAAAGGGAATGGTGGATTGCCATCTATGTATGTGATGGTGGTGGTGGTGGCCATTATCAAACATCAATATTTATACAACGACAAATTAATTCATAATTGTTTATATTTAATTATTAAAATCACATCAAAATTATGATTTCATTCGAATTTTGGTCTATAAAAACGATATTATTTTTAATTGTTTATTGGTCGAATAAAAAATAAACATGGGATTCCAATGGAAAATATTTTCTTTTTATTTTTATTTTTAGTTTAAATTGTATTCACACCATTTATTGCAAGAATCAAACCAACCCCCAAACCCCACCTCTAAAGACCCTTCTTTACTTCTATTTTTATGTGCACATTCTTGTGTATGAACTGATAGCTTCACACCACCAAATCAACATGGAGAATGCAACTCAAGTCAACCAAACCTCAACTTCCACCACCACCACCATCACCGCCGCCACCGTCTCCTCCTCGGCATCGTCCACCTCAGCCTCTTCTTGGCCTTCTGCCTCAAAGGGATGCAAGTCTCAGAAAGGTTCAAAAAGAGCTCCAAAGGGAAACAATGGCAATGAGGAAAAGAAAGCGGGTAAAAATGGTGGTGGCGGTGGCGGTGGCGGTGGTGGCAGTGGTGGGGAGGAGGGAGAAGAGCACCTCACTTATCGTGGTGTAAGAAAGAGGAGTTGGGGGAAATGGGTCTCTGAAATTCGTGAGCCACGGAAGAAATCAAGAATATGGCTTGGAACATTCCCGACGGCTGAAATGGCAGCTCGAGCCCATGACGTAGCGGCTATAGCCATAAAAGGAGCCTCGGCTTACCTAAATTTCCCTCAATCAGCACATCTTCTTCCACAGCCAGCCACAAGATCACCCAAAGATATCCAGGAAGCCGCCGCAAAGGCTGCGGTCATGACATATGGCAGAGATGGAGAAGGAGCCGAGCCCGATAGCCAACCCATGCTTTCTCACTCTCACTCTCACTCCTCAACCACTTTATCATCAGATCATACCCAAGAGGGAGCCGAGCCAGCTGAAAGCCAAGAAACAATGGCTTCCGACGATGATACATTTTTCGACTTACCGGATCTTTCCCTCCACCACACCGGCCAAAACAATGGATTCTGTATCGCTTCATCATGGCAGCTGGTGGCCGGTGTGGATACCGGCTGCCGGCTTGGAGCCGAAGAGCCATTTCTTTGGGAGATATATTAGCTAGCTAGCTAGCCAGCTTATAATTATTAAAAAATAATTTAAATAATCTTTGTAAAGTAAAATAAATTAAACACAATTTCTGAATTTACCACATATATACCGTTAAATTATTATCGTATACTATATAATTTTTATTTGTTTTCTATTTTTTTTCCAAGTGTATAATAAGTTTTTTCCAACTCTCATCATTTTCATAAATATCTCAATTGATTGGGTTACATTAGTTGTACAAATAAACATGGTTGTATTTAATATATATATATATATATATATATATATATATATATGGTTGGGTTCACGTGAGACCAAAGGTTTTTCGTGAGACCTGTAATACCAATTTATATTCATTGATCAACTTTATAAGTTAATGATCTAACGGTCTAAATTGCACGGTGACAATTTGTGATTATTGAGAAATCTTGTGGCGTTTATGAATGTTTAGATTGTCAGATTATAGATCTAATCCAATGATTGAGAATTGGTCTTACGAGTCTCATGAAAAATCATTGGTCTTCCCTCCTTTTTTTCAGGATTCTGTCGAAGAAAGAACAAACCCTAAATATATATATATATATATATATATATATATATATATATATATCATACTTACGACCGTAGTCGTTATCAAGATTCTTTTATATATAATTTTAAATATACAAATCCCAGCTCCATCATATGTGCAACAAACAAAAAAAAAACCCATTAAAATATCAAGTGGGAATTTATTATAATTTTAATGAAAATTATATTTTGCATGATTTTTGTATAATAATTAAATTAAAGATGTTAAATATCATGGTACGGTACGGAAGAAAGAAAAATAAAATTAAGGTGACGGTTTGCTAGGTCGTTCAAACTATATAGGTGGAAGTTCAAATGAGAACATTTTTGTTGTATGAAAATGCAGGAACGTTTATAGTTCTCCAATTTATTTAATCTATAATTAAAATTAAAAGAAAAAAAAGTAAATAATTAAGAATAGTTATGTGATTTTATATTTATCTATAATATTAGTGACTTCTACGTACAGATAATATACACACTGATTACAATGTATCAAATCATTAACTCATTATTATCACATCAAAATCACATGATGAACTGATAGAGTGATGATTGTAGACGTGATCATCATTGGTTTTCGATTATTAGAACATTATCACATCGTTATCACAACATAATCAAGTAATTATCATTGCAAAAGCACTTTTTAATCACTTCATAAAAAGTCTTCAGTTTATCAAAAACATTATCAGAGCAAAATTAGATAATTATCACATCATTATCGACATCAAATGCATCAAAATAAGAAGTCTCTGATGATAGTAGCAACATTTAAGGGACAAGGACAATTTAAGATACAAAAAGTTGTGGATATATTCTAATTTATTTTTTATTTATTCTAATGTTTATTATATGTTAATTAATTTGGAGGCTTAGAAGTCTTCTCGCATTTCGTAAAATAGAGACATTCTCGTTTGAACTATTCCCCATATATATATATATATATACACACACACACACACACACACACACACACATATATATATATATATATATATATATAGGGTTGAGTTCACGTGAGACCAAGGGTTTTTCGTGAGACCCGTAAGACCAATTTATATTCATTGATCAACTTTATAAACTAATGATCTAATGGTCTAAAGTTGAACGGTGACATTTTTGTAATTATTGAGAAGTCTCGTGACGTTTATGAATGTTCAGATCTGATGATTGTAAATCTAATCCAAGGGTTGAGAATTGGTCTTACGGGTCTCACGAAAAACTATTGGTCTCACATGATCCCAAGTCTATATATATATATATGAAAGATTGTGTGCAAATAAAAGTTAAGAAGTGATTTGGACTCTTTATCACTTTTAATTAACATTGATTTAGTGGTTCTCATTAAATCTCAAAACAATCCAGGAATTAGCTTTGGAAGGATATTTTTCAATTCATCTTCAATTAAGATTGATCGAATGATGAAGCTCTTTCATACCCTTCTTACCATAGTTCTCATTCTTATCGGAATCCAACCATGCGCGCACACACACACACACATATTATGTGTGTGTGTGCAAACCAAATACAACCTTTTTAAATGTTGCAACCAATGCAACCTAATAAAATTTAATCCTAACCGTAAATCACCCTCTTTTAAAGAGTATTGATTTTTTTTAATCTTTTAAAAATCACCCCCCTTTTAAAGAGCATTTTGATCAATTTCCAATTAGATGACAACTCATAAATTTAATATGTTATTTACATAATCAATATTTTATTTATCCTTTCTTTTTCTTTTCAAAATTTCTAAAACCCTAGAGTTTCTTATAATTTTTCCGTTAAAGTCATCGGCCAATCTTGCAGGAAGGTAACGAATAGGTATGGGAATGGGATCCGTCCGGTTCTATTAAGGTGTGATAATCGGGTTATCGGTTATAAAGTTAGGAGTTGTTTTTAAATAAGGATGGTAAGTTGATGGATTTATTTGGTTAATGTGATTGCAATGTTTAATACTTTCATCGCCTCCTATTATTAATTGATTTTTATGATGAGATATTAATTTATTTCATTGCGATTGTGGGTTAAAAAGGAAAAAGAGAAAAATCAAGCTTCTGGGTGTTTTTGGAGCCGAGAAAAACAAGCAAAATTTTTGTGTATTCTTGAATACGAAGAAAAGGGAAGCTTGTAGAATTTGATTCCGTGATTCATTAACTGACTTCTTGTTGTTTCAAACTTCATCTCTATGAATTATAAGGTGAGTTTATTTTTACAAATTTTCTTTTTATGGTGTTGAAATTTGAACCGTATGGTTCTTTACGTGAGAGTTTTTGGAACTGAGTTTATGCTATTTTTAGCACGAGTTGGTATTTTGATATGATTATATCAATTAATTGGAATATGAGTGACATATTAAAGAGAGATGATATTTTGGAATAAGAGCGACATATCAAGAAGAAATATATTTTTGGGATAATGATGACATATCAAGAAGAGATGTATACCAGGATAAGGGTGGCATAATCAACATAATGTAATATCTGGGTTTTGATCAAGTTGAGTTCTCTTTGTCGCATTAATAGAATGCGATGACTTTGAGTTGTCGCATCTATGTGATGCGATGACTTGGGTTATCGCATTCTATTGATGCGATGAATAGTTGTTATCGCATCATTGTGATGCAAGAAGTAAGTTTGTCGCATTCTATTGATGCGATGAATAGTTGTTATCGCATCATTGTGATGCAAGAAGTAAGTTTGTCGCATCCTATTGATGCGACACAATGAACTTATCCAATCCTATTGATACGACAAGATGAACTTATCACATCCTATTGATGCGACAATATGGGTCTATCGCACCAGGGTAATGCGATGCGATGCGATGGGTCCTCGCACTAGTGTGTTGCGAGGAATTGGGGTAGTCTCACCCAAGTGATGAGAGAAATTTATGATTTTACTTATATGATGCAATGAGTTTTATCATAAAGCGATAAATGAGTTGTTTGGCTATTTGATGCGATAATTGGATAATGTCTCATCCTTTTGATGCTACAAAAGAAGTTTGTTTATTTAGAGAGTTGTTTATTTGTTATTGCTACAAATATGGGTTTATAAAAGTATTTTGATGATTATTCACCCTGTAATAGCAAACAAAATGATTTCTCACTATACCTCAAGGTTTAACCCCTCATTTGTATTTCAAAATATGCATTACAGGTCGGGCACAACCAGATGATAAAAGAGAAGGGAAAATTGTGAAGAGTTTATATATATGCTTGTCTGAGATGTGGGGATAATATGTTATCTTTTGTATTTGAATATTTGTTATGTATACAAGTTTTTGTACAAAGATTATGTGGAAAAATTTGGTAGCTACTTTGTAATGTAGCTTTTGTAGATATTAAGAACAAATGTGTAAATTATATTTCTTGATATATGAAAATATACGTTTACATGCAAATGTGATCATGGGTGTTTCATGAGGAATCCGATGTATTAGTCCTAACGAGGATAAAGATTCCCTACAAAGCCGGTGATCGGGAATAGGGACGGGGATCCCGAAAAGTTAAAAATCGGGGATAGGGGTGTGGAAGAGTAACGTGGTCCCGCCCCCATCCCGTCCCCGAATATTAAATATATTTATTATATATATTATTTATAAAGAATTAGATTTAATATCTTTTAGATTTACAAATAGTATTTTGACATTTATTTTATATGCATTTTTTTGAATTGTCTTACTTTTTTAGATAAAAAAACGTTGAAAGTCGAAAGCATTTGATCAAACAATTACGTCTGTGATGTGATTTTGTTCATTTATAAATATTTGATACTCTATAAAAGTAAAATTTAAAAATATGGTTTTAAACATGGACCATTATTGATCGAGTGTGGTGTTTAACACAATTAATTTAAAATATCTTATATTAACGGAAGAAAAATCCTCGATTCTCCGTTGGAGATCCCCATTCCCTATTCGGAACGGGAATAGGGATGTAAGCATATTCCCCGGTGGGGACGGGAATGTGAACGAAGATTGTAACCAGGGATGGGGATGGGGATTGGGGTTCCCTCCCCATTCCCATGCCTAGTAACAAGAAGTCAAAAATATAGGTGAAATTTAGAGTATTATAAGTCGAGTTAGTGAATGATCATTCTTAAAAAAACCTTTTCGCTGTATGCCCTAAGAGTAACCGGAGATTCACTTCGACGAACCCATCTTCTTCCATTTCGCTTGTCGATAATCGTGTCCAATCATTCTTCACACACTATTAACGAAGTTCAACGACAATCCCCCCGTAACAATACCACGTCTACAAACTCTGACGAAGCAGATGCCGACATATAGAATGAGAAGCAGAGGCCGACACAAAAGAAAAGGTGATCTCTGACGAAGTAGATCCAGATTCCAGTGAAGAGATATCTGGCAAATTGGGGTCTCAAGTGCATAGGTATTTTTCAACTGCACAATGTACTCTGCATAGTAAAGAAATCTCCGACCAAGGGGGTCTTCGGTGGGTGTTTTTGTTGTTCTTTTTCTTTCTTTTCTTCAAATCTCGATGGGGGATTATTTTGAAACCCATATCGTAATCATAGTGGATATCACCT